CAAGCAATATTGGAAACATTAAAAGACATTTTAACACAGCTATACTTCCAGTATAATCCAGCTATGCTTCCAATATGGCGCAATTTGTGTCCACGTCCAGGAGCTTTCTTATAAATCTGACCAAGTAGAAAGCTTGCTGAAACAATTACCAAATGAAGCACAAGATCCGAGTGAGGAACCAAGATTGGAAGATGTGGAAATATCAGAGACTAAACTGTTTAAAGTGAAAATGGAGAACATAGCTGCATGCCTGTCTGAAGTGAAAGAACCACAAGATACCAAGATGGAGGAATGGAAGACAATTTTAAGCACGACTAATACATTCATATTGTATATAGCAAGTAAACAAGGAGAGAGTTCTACTCCCATACTGAAATACTAGAGGAGCAACCCACAATTGCAGAAGATAAAATGCTGGGAATTCAAGAAGGGGAGGAGGAAAAAAGAAGAAAAGAGGGGGGAAGGACTATTTAAGATGGAATTGCTACAGCAGGGCATGTGATGTTTAAAATGGAATTTAATGAGATTTAAGGATATAAAACACCAAAGAAAGTGACACCAAAAATTAAATGTTAAAAGAAATGGGTGTCACAAGGTAGTTTTTACTTGTTCCTTTAGAAAAGCTCAAAATCATGTAATGTGACTTAAAGACAAATATTAATAATAGATCTATGGAAATTCTCTCTTTCTTCTGTTTTTCTCTTCTTTGTGAGTGAGATACTTTTGTTATAATTTAATTATTAAGTATAACTGAGTATTATTCAGTATGGCTGTAGTAATGCAAAGGATGGTTAATGATAACCAAGACGTTAATTAAGAAGGTTAAATTGAATTAAAATTAAATTAAATGTCAAATAAATATTTGTTATAAGGCATTTGTAGCATTTGTATATGCTATTTTAAAAAACTCTAGAGATAAATATTATTAATAGCTATAGGAAAACTTTTGTAAGAAATGTATATTATTTTTGTTAGGAAGAGCAATATTTAGTTAGAAATAATTGGGACCAAGATATAGAATAATAATAAAAATGTTAGAGTCTGTAAAGATGGATTTCATAAAATATTATATTAAAGGGATTTCTTTTCCAGGGAGCTGTATTTTAAAATATTATTTCCAGAATGTTTTTTTTATAGAATGGCTACTTATAAGCAGTAGGAAGTTAAGGATCCATAACTGTATGGGTAAGGATTAATGTTGTAGTAAATTATTAAGAGGTTATAAGAGATCTGAATATGAGAATCCATAGATATGAATCTAGTACAACTCAAATATGATTAATTTGGAATGTTTTATTAAAATATATTAATAAGGTAATAAGATTTTATAAATTTCTTTTAAGTGTATAGAGTGCTTTTATGACATAAAGGCTACAATATGGGTTTTTGCAGATATCAAGAAATATATGGGTTTAAGTGATCAGATTTGATATAAAGAATTATCTGATTGTATAAGTAGAATTATTAATGTAATGTAATAGTGGATGTAGAAGCAATTGTAAGTATTACTTTCTTTGTACCCCTTTCCTATTCCCCATCTCCCCACCCCTTTCCATTCATTCATAGACCTTTATTGGCATATCATCAGTCGTAAGGTATATAAAACGTTGTATTGTACAATTAAAATCTAAGATTCCATACAAATTTAGTACAATCAAAATAGTACTATCTGAAATTTTGTACCTTAAGAACTTCCATAAGTAACTTGGCAACATCATTAGTAATCTCAGGAATTGAATCATTCAAGAGAAGTTGACATTTTGGCTTGTTACTCAAATAACTTTTAGGATGAAGCCAAGTTAGAAGGAATCTTCTGCGAGGCAGCTCATACAGGGGGCATTCGACAATTATGTGCTCAATTATGTCAAGGGAGTTAAGACCGCAGGGGCACAGCCATTCTTGTCTTGGGATTTGATGATATCTGCCATAGAGTATTCTAGAGGGAAATGCATTAACCCTGGCCAGAAGAAAAGCTCAGCGATGAAGAGGGACCCCACCCCTTTCCCTTTATAATACTTAATAAAAATCTAAAAAAATAAAAAATAAAATAAAATGATCTGCTCTGATAGCTTGATGGATCCCATAGGTTTTCAGATGGCCTTAGGGGATT